CACATACTATTGAAGCCTAGCTTGAAGGAGTTTGAGCATTACCTTGCTAGCATCTGAAATGAGCCCAGTTGTGCAGTAGTTTGAACATTCTTTGGCATTGACCTTCTTTGAGATTAGAATGAAAACTGACCTTTTCCAGTCCTGTGGCCACTGCTGAGTTTTCCAAATTTGCTGGCATATTGAGTATTGCATTACTTTAATAGCATCATCTTTTAGGATTTGAAACATCTAAAATATTTCAAATAATGTCCAAATTACCACTCAATTGCACTCATTTCACATGCTAGCAAGGTAATGCTCAAAATCCTTCAAGGTGGGCTTCAATAATACATGAGCTGGAACTTCCAGATATACAAGCTGAATTTAGAAAAGGCAGAGTGACCAGAGATCAAATTGCTAACATCTGTTGGATAATAGAAATAGCAAAGGGATTCCAGAAAAACACCTGCTTTATTGACTACATGAAAGCCTTTGACTGTGTGGATCACAACAAACTGGAAAGTGTGAAAGAGATGGGCATACCAGACCACCTTACCTGCCTCCTGAGAAACCAGTATGCAGGTCAAGAAGCAACAGTTAGAACCAGACATGAAATGAAGGACTGGTTCCAAAATGGGAAAGGAGTATGTCAAGGCTGTACTTTGTCACCCTGCTTATTTAACTTATATGCAGAGTACATCATGAGAAACTCTGGGCTGGATGAAGCTCAAGGTGGAATCAGGATTGGCAGAAGAAATATCAATAACCTCAGATATGCTAATGACACCACCTTAATGGCAGAAAGCTAAGAGGAACTAAAGAGCCTCTTGATGAAGGTCAAAGAGGAGACTGAGAAAGCTGGCATAAACTCAACATTCAACAAAATGAAGATCATGGCATCCAGTCCTATTACTTAATAGCAAATAGATGGGGAAAAATGGAAACAGTGACAGATTTTATTTTCTTGAGCTTCAAAATCACTGTGGATGGTAACTGAAGCCATGAAAGTAAAAGACTCCTTGGAAGAAAAGCTGTGACAAACCTAGACAGCTTATTAAAAGGCAGAGACATCACTCTGCCGACAAAGGTTCATCTAGTCCAAGCTATGTTTTCTCTATAGTCATGTTTGGATGTGAGAGTTGGACCATAAAGAAGGCTGAAAGCCAAAGAATTGATGCTTTCGAACTGTGGTATGGAGAAGACTTGAGAGTCCCTTGGACAGCCAGGAGATCAAACCAGTCAACCCTAAATGAAATCAACCCTGAATATTCATTGGCAGGACTGATGCTGAAGCTCCAATAGTTTGACCACCTGATGCGATGATGTTGGGAAAGATTGAGGGCAGGAGAAGGGAGCAGTAGAGGATAAGATTGTTGGATGGCATCACTGACTCAATGGACATGATTTTGCGCAATCTCTGGGAGATAGTGAAGGACACGGAAGCCTGGTGTGCTGAAGTCCACAGGGTCGCAGAGTTGGACCTGACTGAGCAACTGAACAACAAAATACTTGAAATATGAAATCATATTCTTGACCCCCCCCCATACCTCCACTCTTCTATCTGAATGTTATACATTGTTTAAAGCTCAGTTCAAAACTTATTTTCCTCTAGAAAGCTTTCCCCAAAATTCTCAGCAGGAATACATTGTACCTTATGTCTTATATCACTTATGACATTTTGATCTTTGGATCATAGTTCTTTCTATACACATCTTCCCTGATAAATTGTAAATTTCTTGAAATTAATACTCATTTGATGCATCATTTCCAACATGTAGAACAGTTATGTATATATAATGGAAAAGGTCAAGATAAAAAGTTTAAGTTCCAACTTCACGGAATAACACATGTGATAAGTTTTCTTGATTTCAGTGAATCCTAATTTCCTAACCTTCAGAATTTGGGAAACGACACTTACCTCGCAGATTTGTTTTAAGGACTAAAAGAGTAAGCTATTATCTTGTTTACACAGACACAAAAGCCTTCAATAAGTATTCTTTTTTTTTTTCCTTATCTCTTTCCAAAATGTGTACCATAGTATTTTGAAACTAACCTCAGTAAATAACAATAAATCTTAATGATGCGCAAGACATTGAGGGCCTGAACTCGGGTAGTGTTATGGGAAATTTAAAGGAAGAGATGGATATCAAATAACATTATAAGCTAGAATGGACAAGAAACAGTGGTTTACTGTGGTGAATAATGGCTGAGATTTTGAGTCTGGAATATCATACCATTTAATAAAGAAATACGGACCAAGAACTTGTTTGAGAAAATGAGTCAAAGGCAGTAAGTTTAGGCAATACCATTCTAAAGGAAAAGTTGTAGGGGTACCAATAATTTCATGGCCTTCGTGGAAATGATCTGGGTCACCAATAATGAAAAACTGTGTTTAAAAAACTCAGCCTTCATATTTCCCAACTTGACTGTCAGTATCAAACTTTGACTATTAGAAGTAGGGAAATCTGGAATTAAAGTTTGATATAGGAAAAAAGTGAATGTTAAGTCTTAGGAATTCTTGAACCTCTAAATCAGTAGTTTCTTTTTGCCTTCTTTTTTTTTTTTAAAACTTATAAGAACTTTGTTTTGTTTTTTGTTTTGTTTTGTTTTGTTTTTTGTTTTTTTCCATTTATTTTTATTAGTTGGAGGCTAATTACAACATTGCAGTGGTTTTTGTCATACATTGAAATGAATTAGCCATGGATTTACATGTATTACCCATCCCGGTCCCCCCTCCCACCTCCCTCTCCACCCCATCCCTCTGGGTCTTCCCAGTGCACCAGGCCCGAGCACTTGTCTCATGCATCCAACCTGGGCTGGTGATCTGTTTCACCCTAGATATACATGTTTCGATGTTGTTCTCTTGAAACATCCCACCCTCGCCTTCTCCCACAGAATCCACAAGTCTGTTCTATAGATCTGAGTCTCTTTTTCTGTTACCATCTTTCTAAATTCCATATATATGTGTTAGTATAATGGAAACTTTCCCTCTGTAGCAAGTTATATTGCCACCAAATGATAATATTTGCTTATTATTACAAATTTTAATAGGAAGTTCAAGATCTTATGCTGTGCTCATTGCATATAGTAGTTAAGGGAAGTCCTGAAATATATTTTAGTTAAACTGTTTACCTTGCTAACTTTACAGTCAAAATTAGAGAAATGATATATTTTAGAACAACCTAAAAATAATTCAGAGGGGATGCTATACATTATAGGCATAAATTTATAGCTGTTCAACCTGTTTTTGACATGTTCCTTGTTACAATTATTATTATCTTGAACATGCAATTTTAAAAAGCCTTTTTAGTCCATACAGTGGTACTGAAAACTAAAGCTCAGCTGAAGATATCCAACATAACTTTTAAAATAAATACTTTTAAAGGTTTTTAAATAGAAAGTCCTACAGACTTCTTGCAAAAATTAAAACAGTTGTACAGAAATTAAAATTTTAAATTTTCTCCCTTTCATCCTTTTCTGGCCCTGCTTCCCAAAGCTAATCATTTTTAAATTTAATTTATATCTTTCCACGTATTTATAGGTGATGTATATTTAATTTTTGTTAGTGTTGGAAATGGATATATTTATTGTTCTTCAATTTTTTGTTCATTTGATATGTCATGGGCATTTCACCATGAAAGTATGTGTAGTATTAGCTTATTCACTTAAATAGCCAAATAGCAAGCAAAATTTTGATGTTTTGTGATTTATACCTTGTAGATACACTAATAAATTTTGGCAGAATACACTGCAGCTGTTAGGCAGCTTAGACTGAAGTGCGGACCTCAAGTGTAAATTCAGAAATTTTTGACTTGTGTTGTTACAGTGAAAAATGTAGCATAATTTGTGGATGTTATTAATAATACTTTGGGGGCTTGTGTGAGACTTGTATGGCCAGATGAGTGTGCCAGTGTTTGTATAACAGTGGAAAATGTTTGCCTACTATAGACAAAGTTTTTTGTGGTTCCGTGTGATTTTTGTGTTAGTTGTTCAGTTGTGTCTGACTCTTTGCGGTCCCATGGACTCTACCCCACCAGGCTCCTCTGTCCATGGAATTCTCCAGTCAAGAATACTGGAATGGGTTGCTGTTCCCTTCTCCAGGGGATCTTCCCAACCCAGGGATCAAACCCGGTCTCCTACATTGCAGGCAGATTCTTTACCGTATGAGCCACCAGGGAAATATGATAATATTGGAGCCATAGCTCCAGATAAGTGACAGTATTATAACAATGCCTTTTTAAGGATTATGTATGTGAGTGCTCAGTTGCTCAGTCTTGTCCAACTTTTTCAAGTCTTTGCGACCCCATGGACTGTAGCCCACCAGGCTCCTCTGTCCATGGAATTTTCCATGCAAGAATACTGGAGTGGGTTGCCATTTCCCTTTCCAGGGGATCTTCCCAACCCAGGGATCAAACCCCTGCCTCCTGCATTGACAAATGGATTCTTTACCACTGAGCCACCAGGGAAGTTATGGGGGTACCAGTAACTTCGTGAGCTTCATAAAATGATTTGGGGCACCAAAAGAAACCAACCCTTGGAATTTTGTGTTTTGCGTGTGGCACAATGATAAAGAAAAATCTGCCTGCCAATGCACGAGATGCAGAAGACAGGGTTCGACCTCTGGGTCAGGAAGATCCCCTGAAGTAGGAAATGGCAACCCACTCCAGTATTCTTGCCTGGAAAATTCCATGGACAGAGGAGGCTGTGGGCTACAGTCCATGGGGGTCACAAAGAGTCAGACATGACTGACTGAGCATGCATGCACAAGCATCCATGTAATCGTTAAAAAGGCTTTGTTATAAAACTTATCTGGAGCTATGGCTCCAATGTTACCTAAAAATCACACAAGACTTATATTAAATAGCTCTTGCTATATCCTACATTAGAGGCATACTCAATAAGCAAAATGCTTTTACTGTGACCTCACAAGCACTCAGATTTGAAGTGGTGTATGAAACAATATGTATTCTAACTATTCATTGATGTGATATATGTCTCACTTCCCTTTATTTTATTCATAGATATGACTTGGAATGAACAGGAAAAGACTGAACTTTTTGCAGATGATTTTTGTAATGTGTGTGGAGTGGTGCTTCAGTTTGAATCACAAAGGATTTCACATTATGAGGTAGGTTAAAAACAATGGAAATGGAGTATAAAATAGATTTTTAAATATAGCGGATAAACTTCATATGTTATCTGGTTTTGATACTTATGAGAATCCTGTGTATTATTTCCCTCTGATAGATGAGGAGCCTGGCTTAGTAAGGAACAGTAATTTACCAGCTTAAGTTTGGGAAATTTGGGAGCCTCAGTCTCTTTTGACTCCAAAGCATATTTTCTTTTCTTCACATCTTTCTGCCTCCCTTTCTATCCATCAAGTCGCTGTATGCTTCATGTCCTTGTAGTAAATATAAGGAAAGTTTTATAACACTTGAATAGGAGACTATTAGTGTGAATCAAGGGATCTCATTGAACTCCAGAATTTTCCTTTACAGTAAATAAAGGATAAAAACAAAATGAACTAGTCTTGCACTTGATTTAACTACATATTTTTAAGCCCAGTACCATAGACTTCTAGAGCTAAAAGAAGGAATATTTGATTTTCTTAGTTCTTTAGTTTATTGATTAGAAAGCTGAAACCCAGAGGAATAGTGATTAACCATCTTGGCATTACTAAGCTTAAAGATGATCTCCTCTGATTTCATATCTCCTCTGATTTCATCCTCATTCATTTCATATCACCTCTGATTTCATTTCTATTTCACACACTAGATATGTGTTGTCCTTTCATTTAGTGTTGTCTCCCATTTCTACATCATGTTATCAACTATTGGACTTTTTTCATATGTGGTATCTATTAAAAAAGTACTAGATACTTTTATAATATCTTAAAATATTATGCCAGTTCTACTTTAAAAACTAGAAACACCTGATTTTGTTTTGCCCATTACTAATCTTATTGGCAATTATATCTCGGTCCTTATGTTGATTTGGATTCAGCTATTAATACTATAATTATAGATGATGAAATTGTGTTGGCTGTGGATTGAGAGGACCTAGGTTCACTCAGTTGGTAAAGAATCTGCCTGCAATTCAGGACACATGGGTACGATTCCTGGGCTGGCAAAACCCCCTGGAGAAAGAAATGGCAACCCACTCCAGTATTCTTGCCTGGAGAATCCCATGAACAGAGGGGATTCCAGGCTACAGTCCATGGGTTCGCAAGAGTCAGACATGACTTAGTGAGTAAACCACTTCAACTAGGTTCAAGCCATTGTTGTGTAACCCTGGCCAAGTCACTTTACCTCTCTGAGCATGTTTCTTCAGGCTGCAAAATGAAAGCTAAAATCTCTCTTACTATTCTTGTGAAAATTAAATGAAATCAAACATTTGAGTGTGCCTAGCATATCCTGGCACCCCAAAGCTCAAAGAGTTAATAAAGTGAAACACATAATCAAGGAGCTATATGATAACCATGGTTGGAACCATTTGAATTTAAATTTGAAAAATTGCTTTTATAGACTTATGAAGTACTTACTATTCAGTATAGAAAATGTACAAAATTATGAGAAAATGTGAATCAATCATAAGTCTGTCACTTGTGGGTAAGCATCATTTAATTAACTTCTCTTTAGCTTATATGAGTCCAGTATGCTTTCTAAACACACATACATTTTTACAAAAGAGAATTGTATATGTTGTTTTGCCCTTGCTTTTTCATATAAGAACATATTCTGAACACTTTGTCCTATCATTACATCTTTTTACTTTTCTGTAATAGTTTAATGACTATAAAGCATTATGTTTTATAATGTTGTAGCATATTTTTTATTTAAATTCCAATGCCATGTATAAGTTTAGTGCTTAAGCTTGTTAAATAACCAACTCAAATTATACATGACTTTCAAACTATATTTGAAAGCACTCCCTTACAAATATCTTAATTGTAAAGGTGATTTTTTTCTCTTTAATAGACAGCTTGGTTAATATTGTCAGACTATCTCAGCATTTTATTTATTATGCATGTAATATAGGACATTACTGCAAAAATTTGGAATTTTAATGAGGTTGCACTTACTAATATTTCCTTTTGTATTTATGTTTATACATGTTTAAGAAACCATTCTCTGTACTTTTGCCAGATAAATATTTCCCTCTATTCTTTTCTAATACTGTTAAAAGTTTTATTTCTTGGGTTAATGTGTGTGATTCATCTGGTATTTATTTTCATATATGCAAGGTGATAACATTGTTTTCCATACAGATAGTGGGTGTTCCAGCACTATTTATTTAACAGTTCATTTTTGCCCCACTGATTTGTAGTGGCATCTCTGTCATAAGCTATTTTTCATATATACTTCATTCTCTTATTATGTTTTATTACTTTGTTTGCCTGTGTCTAAAATAATTTCACCTTATTACTGTAGCTGTAAAATATATCATGATACTTGATAGGGGAAATTTATATGACAGAAAACTCATCATAAAGTTAAAAGACAAGCCATAGATTGAATGGTATTTATATTCCAATAACTAACAAAGGATTAGTATCTGGATTGTATAAAGAACTATATATCAGAAGAAGAAACAACCCAATAGAAAAATGGGAAAATGATATGAACAGGCTAGAGTAGAGATACTTAACTTCAGAGGTGATCATATGGGAAATTCAGGTTAAAATGATAATGAACTATCTTATCAAAACCATCATACTCACAAAAATTAAAATCTGCACTTAACACTTAAGAAAATATAGGAACTCAAAAACACTCATACGTGCTACATTTGGAGTTTAAACTGCTTCAGCATCTTTGGAGATAAATTTTATAGTACCCATTAAAGCTGAAAACCCTCATATAAGCCAGATAGTCCATATCTATGTATCTACTTTAAAGAAACTAAAAAAAAAAATAAACTCTTGGCCATTATATTAGGAGATACATTTACATATGTTCAGTGAGATGTTTGTAATAAGAAAATAATCAGAAACATAACTGCCTTCATTAGGGGATTTGATGGGTAGCATAGGGAATAGAATATTATGCAGCATGTAATGTGAATGAACAAGAGCCATATGTATCAATATGGGCAAATCTTATGTAATATTGAGTTATAAAAAGTTTAAAGGATAGGAACAGGCTGATTCCATTTTCATAAAAAATTTAAATGACAATAGTACATATTACTGTTTATAGGTACATGCATATCTAGTAAAAGAATAGAGGAAATGATACAAAACAACTTTAAGATAGTAGTTACCTACTGGGGAGAGACCAAGGAGGGAGCAATTGTTGAAATGAGGAGCTAGGATTTCTTGTGTAAAATTTTACCTCTTTTGAAAAGGAGATCTGAAAGAAATAGAGAAAAATGTTAAAATCTATTAAAACTGGGCAGTGGATATATACTTCAGCTATATTCCTGCACACACTTCACAATTTAAAATGCTGTTGATAGAGTAATTGCTTCACAGTATGTGCTATGTCATATTATTGTCCCTTCTATTGACATCAACATTTTAGTTATTATGTATCTTGTTATATATGTATTCAGAGACTTTTGTTTAATATGCTTAACCTAGAAAGGTTAATTTCCTCACACAAAAGAATTTGAGAGGTAAGCAATACAGGGCTGATGTAACAGCTTCATAACACTTTCAGAGATCTAGGCATTTTCTGTCTTTCTACTCTGATGAACTAGCCTCTGTCCTCAAGAGCCCCCATTGTCCCAGATTAACTTTACATCTTAATTCCATAAGCAGGAGAGAAGATGAGACAAGTTCATCCCCCATTCTGTTAGGAGACTTCCAGAAGTTCTACCCAACATTTCAAATTACATCTTATAGGCTAGAATATAGTCACGTGTTTACATCTTGCTGAAATGGAGGCTGGAATATGCAATCTTTTAGCTGAGTATATTGCCTAAGATGTGTAACTAAGGAAGAAGAAAAAATTTATATTAAACAAAAACTAGGAGTTTCTGTCAAAAACTAAGTTATTGGTCTTAACTATAAATAAAACTATTGTAGTTTTATTTTCATTTTAACTGAGATTTAGAGCTTTGAAAGCATGCGGAACCTTTTCATAAACTGGGTACACACTAAATATATTCCAACTCACAAGTGCTGTCCTCAGATTCAAAGAGGTGTAAATTTGAGGTGCCTCTGTTGTTGAATAAACAAAGTCATATTGTATCTTTTTCCAGAGTGAAAAACATGCTCAAAATGTTAGGTTTTATTTTCAAATGCATGGGGAACAAAGTGAAGTGCCTGGTAAGAAAATGAAGATGGATGTTAGGAATTTTCAGGTGAGTGGCCTATGTTGGTTATTGTAATTCAAAACTTAGTTATTGAATCTTTCTAACAAGATTGTGCTTATTTCAGGAGCATAAAAGTGAAGTAGTGGACAGAAATAAATTTTGTGGTCTCTGCCACATGGTTTTTAGCTCCTCAGTTGTTGCTCAGTCTCACTATGTGGGGAAAGTCCATTCTAAAAAACTGAAGCAATTAATGAAGGAGCGTGATCAGGTATCTCCATCAAGCTTTCAGCCAGCAACGGGTAAGATGACATTCACCTCTTTAGCTTCAGTACAGAGTCTTTCTATATTTTTTTCCCATCTCTGCTATCCATTTTTTATTGGAGAGAATTTTACTCTGCCACAATAATTTGGTTCTTGTGCTCAGTTAATCTCTTTCTGTGCCCTTGTCATTTAATACAGAGATCATGATTGCTAGCTAAATTTTAAGAAATGTTGTGACCTCTCCTTTTCAGTTTATTAAATCCAAATAAAAACATGTTTGCTATAATGAAACAACAATAAGCAACCTGAGCTCTCCAGTTTCTAATCAAATTATTAAGTCATAGTTTCTTCTTACTTCTTCCCCTTGACATCTGTCTCATTCTTTTTTTTTTTGCTTTAGTACTTTACAAAACATTATCTCATAATGTGTGTTCAGACCAATGTCTTCACCATAATATAGTTATGTTGCAGCATTTTCTGACTTTAACTGTAGACAAAAAAAGTGGTATGGAATCTTCTTCTACCCTGATAGCTCATTCCTTTCTTCCTATGAATATAAAGAAAAAGTACCATTAGCTATATCAATCAGCAGTTATTGAAAACTTACTTTATGTTAGATCCAGAGATCCAGAGAACTATATAACATATTGCTCTGTCCTCCTTCCAGTGATTTTGGGCCACCAGCACATGAGAGAACTGACCCACAGGTCTCACTTTGAGCCTGAAGTAGCAGAGTATGCTCCAGCCTGTATTTTTTAAATGTTGTGTGCTAGAACAAATAATAATGATTAATCCCCTGGAGTAAATAATTTACTATATTCTCATTAGCTTCAACATTTTAGGAATAAAGCATGCCTGGCATCACAATTTTACCTACATTAATTTCCATCTCATAGCTAGGCCACATCAGCATTAAAACATATTGTTTTCTTATAAATGAAATGAATTATTTTTAAATTTATCCTAGTCTCTCTGATTTTTGTATATTTGTTTTTCTGCCTGTCAGTCAAGAGGGACAGAATCAGTGTACCACACAAAAGAAAGTGTCTTGTAAAGCCTTATCTTTAGTCCCCCAAATTCATAAATTTGGGCTCAGAAAGGAGACTACATGAAAGAGCTCTAAAATAACTGTAATTGTGGGAACATATCATTTTATAGCCTTGAACAACTGCATAAACTGTATTTTGATACAGACACCACTGAATAGATGATCTACTTACTATGCTACTCAAGAAAGACATCAACTTAGAAGTTGGTACCCGTCTCTTTTACCCTCACTAATTTCAACAGCCATCCTAATACAGCTCTCATGCCTTCATTGACTGCTGAATATTGCTTCCTGTATCTTTGTTGGAAACACTTGGTGACAGACTTATATTCAATTATTTTTAGCCTAAATACCTTTTTCCAACAGTGCTGTGTGGAAAAAGTCCAGAGATAGTAGGTTTTTAAAGAACTCTAACTTTCTCTGATACTTATAATGAAAACATGTAGATCACTTTTCATTATGACTGTTTCAGCACGTGTTCCTATTACTACTTCTGCAGAGTCAACTTTTCTGAAGCCCCTTGCTTTCAAGCCTCCTCCAGGTGGAATTAAAGACAAGATTATGCCTTCCTCTTCCAGCAGTGCTTTGGATTTGAATAATCCAAACAAGTATTGCAAGCTCTGTCCTGCTTCCTTTAATAGTCCATTAATGGCCCAACAACATTATGTTGGGAAAAAACACAAAAGAAATGAAGCTAGGAAGAAGTTTGTAGACAAGATAAGAGAGAAACCTCTTCCTGCAAAATCAGATGCAAATGGTAAACAGTAAGAATATCCCAAATTTCTTTCTTAGGAAGTTTATCGTTTATAAAACATACTGGCTTATATATATACCATTTTACTCTTATTGAATAAGAGGTTGATAATACTCATGGGATCATAGAATTTTCAGTAAGTAAGGACTTTTGAGTCCATATAAGTCTGTCTGTGGTTTTCTGGAAAATGAGACCCAGAAAGGTTTAGATGACTCTTATTGATCAAATATAGGAATTAGCATGGTTTCATGTTATATTATAGGTACTTACAGAAAGTATTTTAAATTAGTATTATATAGTTATTTCATTCAGTCACTAAGTATGGCTTAAGTTTCTCTCGGGTGCTAGACTAGTCATTCCTGGGAATACAAATGAAGATATACCACTTTCCCTGATAAGGGCAAGTGTATAAACTACTTGGGTTAATAGCACTTCATTGCAAGAGGCTGCAGACATGGATTTTTGTGTACATATTTTTGATAACCAGAGGAGTGAAATAAAATGACTCAAAAAATCTTTTTAAAGGAAATGTATGATTTGCATTGTTAGAAGTGGGAAGGAGAGAGAATGAACAAAGGAACTTAGGAAGAGTGGCAAGAATTTCAGCACAATAAAGATTCTGATCCTGACTGGAGTGATCCACTTGCTCATCTAACCATATTTTTTTTTTTTTCATTTTTCCCCCACAGGCACCTTCTCACTACTAGTGTATTTTATTCCCTTTTCATATTCTCTCTTCCACCCACTTCTTTTCCTCTGCTCACTATTATTTTTCAGTTCTTTCCTTACTAGACTTTTCTGCTTCATGTGAAAATGTTCATTACTCCCTCTTTTAAGCTCTATTCTGTTATATGTAACTCTCTATGCTTGTGTTCTTTTCTTGTGTCTCTCTTTCTTTTCTGTTTTATTTGGGGGCTCTTTTTAAAATGTATTGCCTACATGTCAATGTATGGCAAAAACCAGTACAATATTGTAAAGTAATTAGACTCTAATTAAAATAAATAAATTTTTAAAATTAATTAATTTTAAAAAATTATTGCCTAAATGTAGGCATTCCCGTGATTCCATTCTTGACCTTAATCTGTAAAATAATCTAATCCATTCCCTTGATTTCTTATCTCATCTATATGCTTATGACCTTTCTGTAAAGCTTTAGACTCATATACCCAAAGAGCAGCTACCTCTTCACCTGGATACCTCATAGCCATTTCAAATCCACTCAGTCATTCCAAGTAGAAACCTGTAGTTAACTTTAAATCCCCCAACACCATCTACTTCATTTTCTGTATCTAATGAAGCACCAAGCCATGACTAACACAATACCGTAGAGCAATTATATTCAATTATTTTTAGCCTAAATACCTTTTTCCAACAGTGCTGTGTGGAAAATGTCCAGAGATAGTAGGTTTTTAAAGAACTCTAACTTTCTCTGATACTTATAATGAAAACATGTAGATCACTTTTCATTATGACTGTTTCAGCACGTGTTCCTATTACTACTTCTGCAGAGTCAACTTTTCTGAAGCCCCTTGCTTTCAAGCCTCCTCCAGGTGGAATTAAAGACAAGATTATGCCTTCCTCTTCCAGCAGTGCTTTGGATTTGAATAATCCAAACAAGTATTGCAAGCTCTGTCCTGCTTCCTTTAATAGTCCATTAATGGCCCAACAACATTATGTTGGGAAAAAACACAAAAGAAATGAAGCTAGGAAGAAGTTTGTAGACAAGATAAGAGAGAAACCTCTTCCTGCAAAATCAGATGCAAATGGTAAACAGTAAGAATATCCCAAATTTCTTTCTTAGGAAGTTTATCATTTATAAAACATACTGGCTTATATATATACCATTTTACTCTTATTGAATAAGAGGTTGATAATACTCATGGGATCATAGAATTTTCAGTAAGTAAGGACTTTTGAGTCCATATAGGTCTGTCTGTGGTTTTCTGGAAAATGAGACCCAGAAAGGTTTAGATGACTCTTATTGATCAAATATAGGAATTAGCATGGTTTCATGTTATATTATAGGTACTTACAGAAAGTATTTTNGGAAGAAGTTTGTAGACAAGATAAGAGAGAAACCTCTTCCTGCAAAATCAGATGCAAATGGTAAACAGTAAGAATATCCCAAATTTCTTTCTTAGGAAGTTTATCGTTTATAAAACATACTGGCTTATATATATACCATTTTACTCTTATTGAATAAGAGGTTGATAATACTCATGGGATCATAGAATTTTCAGTAAGTAAGGACTTTTGAGTCCATATAGGTCTGTCTGTGGTTTTCTGGAAAATGAGACCCAGAAAGGTTTAGATGACTCTTATTGATCAAATATAGGAATTAGCATGGTTTCATGTTATATTATAGGTACTTACAGAAAGTATTTTTATCTTCTGCTCTGCTTTTCTGATACTAGTTTAAGCCCTCAATATCTTTTCTAGAGCTTTGCTATTCAAAGTGTGGTTTGTAGGCAGCAGCATCAGCACCACTTCAGAGCCTCTTAGAAAAAAGAATCTCAGGCTTCACTGCAGACCTACTGAATCTGAATCTGCATTTTATGCATTTTAACAAGATCCCTGGGTGGTTTGTACTCACAATAAAGTTTGAGAATCATTGTTCAAGAATATTGACACAACCTCCTAACTATTCTCCTTCCATCAGTTTTGTCTCCCCAAATCCACTCTCAATTTAACCACTGGAGTGTTTCACCTAAAGTGCATATCTTTCTATGTCACTTCCCTGCTTAAAAATCCTTATTTTTCTATTTTCTAAGGATAAAAATATAAGGATAAAAATAGAGAACTTCATAGTTCTTTACCATCTTGTCCTCTCTTCCTCCTCCAGGCTTATTCCCTGCTACTTCCTGCTATGATCCATGTGGGTCAGAACCTGCAAAATGCTTTTAGTTTCCAGAAACGATTACCCTATTTCTTGTCTCTGTGCCCTTCATGCTGCCATTTTGCCTGGAACATCTTCATGTCCCTCTTCTCTTGACCAACTCTTACTCATACTTTAACATGATACTTCCTTGTAAGTCTTTTTACTTCCTTCAAGGCTTGTCTTCTCTGCTTCCTTAACCTGCATATCTAATTATCTTTTCCTGTGTCTTTATCTCCCACTAGAATGTAAGATTTTTGAGGAAGGGGATTTCATGTAACTCATCTGTATTTCCATTCCTAGAGATAGACACTGGCACAGAGTAGGCCTACCTCAATAGAGATTAGTTTAATATATGAAACAATGAACTATTAACCTTTATTTATTGGATGCTAACCATGTGTTTGTATTATTAAGTTTGCTGCTTATTGTGATTCAACATCTCACCAAAAGTTACATAGAAGTCTGTGTTTTTATCTAGAATTTTAAAGAATGTCAATTTAGACAAATGTAGAAATAAAAGTGGTAGGGCTCCTGAAAGTCATGGAAGATACAACAGACTTGATAGGTTATTTTTCCTGTTGCTATGCAGAGGGTTCTCTGAAATAAGTGGCTTCTAGTTAAGTGGCATTGGGTAAATTGGAACTGAAATATATGTCAGCTCTGAGAGATATGTGGTACTCTGGTCACTTCTGAAAGGAGGGTTATTTTAGACTTTGAAGTTGCAAGATTATTAGAATGAGAGAAAGAGGATTTTGGTGAAATTTTCATCTGGCCAGGGAGGGGGGCTGCTGATCATCAGCATAATTTAATCCAGTCATTGAAGTCATTTTACATTAGCCTCTGAAACTGGAAGCTCAAAAGATTTTCAACCCTGACTTGACTATTTAATTTTGATTACAGTAAACATTGAAGATTAAAAAAATAGCTGGAGCGCTGTTGTACAACAGAAACTAACACAATACTGTAGAGCAATTATATTCCAATTTTTTTTAAAAATTTAAAAAACTAGCTGGAGAATTTAAATTAGCCGATGAGAATTTCAAAGAACAGCAACAGCAGAAACCCATATATTATAAGTGAGCAAGCAGTAAGACAAAAGCAATTTAACATGTGCCACTTTAATTATTTTTACTCTTCACCTGTTTTCTGCCTTCTTGCTGTCTTTGCCTTCTTTTTTATCTGCTATTGTTTATATATGTTTCTACTCTATCTAATATCTTTCTCTGTTTCTTCATCATTCTTACTGCTCTCTTCATGTCCTTCATCCAGCCCAGATCTTATTAGCACAGGAATGGCTACCATAATGATATGGAGCTAAAGTATGTATGTATTTTTTATTTATTGCATTTGTTTTATTTTATTAATTTATAGCCCCATTATTGTACTTATTGTCTCACCTTCACCTGTAACTCAAAGTACCTAACATTGAATTAATAATCTTCCCTAAAACCATCTTGAATTTATCAAGTTTTTTGTTTTTGCCAGTAGTAGCACTATTTTTTAGTCACCTACACTTGAATCTTTGAAGGCATCTTTGACTAAATTCCCCTATATCCTATCCATCCACAGTCTTATCAAGTCTTCTTAGAACTGTTTCTCCTACCTGTACCCTTTCATTGCATTTTCACTACCATCACTTTAATGCTGTAACCACCTTCTAGAAGGCTTTACTTATACCTCATTGTTATTCTCTTACTACCTAGTAGCAAGATTTCAACCTAGGATCAATTCCACAGTCTACCTGTTCTACTTTTACATTCAGAATACTTAATGATGATGCTATGGAAAATTATATAAGGCTAGAGATTGGGTACCTCTATAGAGTCTTAGTATCCAATCTCTATGACCTTTTAGTCTTATTTAGTACTTTTCCTTTTCCTTCAGTTTCCTTTCAGCAGTGATTTTTTAACCTACACCACCTTCCAACACTCTCTTCTACTATTCAACACTCCCCCTCCTCACATCCTTCAGACAAGCTTATTCCTTATGCCATCAAGAAAAATGTAACCATCACATGTGGATACCAAGCATCTTACCCTAACCAAATAATCCTTTGAGTTTCCCTTTCACTATGATACTTTCCCCTTGTTTTCTTAGCCAAGGTTTTTGTTGTTGTGTTCTTATTTTTCAGATATGCTCTTACTGTCCTCACTGATATTCACTCCTCAAATCACTGCCATTTGTTACACATCCCCCCAGCCCTCCACACCACCACTCTACTATTTCACTAAAGCTGTTCTTTGCATGTTGTGACTTCTAAATGTCTAAATTCAGTAGACATCTTTGCTTAATTCACTAAACATTCCTCTTTAAAAATCTCTATTTCCTTAGCTCCTTTGACATCACTTTCTCCTGTTCATCCTTGCAACTCTGTCCTTTACTTCTTGACTTTTCATGGACCCCCCCCCACCATCTAGTTTAAAGAGTGACACTATCCAGGGTTTTTATCATTATGTTGCTATTCCTGTGCCCACCCATACATTGTCCTCAAGAGATCTCATCCACTCTCTTAACTACCCTTTATCCTCAAATGTATCCAAAATTACTCTAAGCTATCCTTTCCCTTTCAAATTCCCATATCTAACTGCCTGTTGGACACCTTTATATGGAAATCTCAGAGATATAGCAGACTCTGTGTGTCCAAATTCAAACTCACCATTGATTATTTTCTCATATCCTTAAACAGTATTCCTTATGAAATTCCAATTCAGTTTGGATCACCACCCACTCAGTCATCAAACTATGCTGAGTTATTTTAGAACTCTCTAGATTCCTCCTCCCTTATCTCCCATATTTAATCAGTCATTAAATTTTGTTAGATTTAATGATAAATATTTCACCAATATCTCTGCTCCTGTCAGTCCCTACTGTGACCTTTCTAGCCCATGCCTCCTTATCTCTTGCCCTGTCTGGTATATTTATGTAACTGTGGTCTCCTTACTTCCAGGCTTGCTCCTCTCAAAATTACCTTCCATATTGCAGTTAGAGAAGAGATTTCTCTAAAACACACAATTGACCATGTTACATACTGCTTAAACCACCTGATGGTTTCCCAGCCCACAGAATAAAAAGTCTAGACTCCTTGTGCTCTGTGTGCTCTTGCTCAGTCATTTCCAACTCTTTGCGACCCAATGAACTACAGCCCGCCAGGCTTCTCTGTCCATGGAATCTTCCAGGCAAGAATACTGGAATGGGTTGCCATTTCCTACTCCAGGGGATGTGCCCAATCCAGGGACCAAAACCCATGTCTCTTATATCTCCTGCATTGGCAAGCAGGTTCTTTACCACTGTACCACCTGCTAGACTCCTTAGCATAATATAGAAGTCTCTTTGATCTGACACCTTTTTGTCTCTCCCATGCTGTCCCCTTATATTTTATTCTACAATTCCAAATTTCAAAAAGTTCCTATAAATACTTCTATGCTCTTTTCAACTCCTTTCACCATTAACTATTTTTCCAAATTTAACTAAGGCCTCATCTCCTTCAGTAGCACTCTTCAGACTCCCATGTTATACTGAGTGTGTCTGCTTCCTTGAATTCCCATACCTCTTAAGCATACTTGCCTTATCTTTTATGAAATGAGATTGAAATCCTCTGTTCATGTATCTGTTTCTCATTTGAATTTGCGAGCAACCTGCACATTTTGTTCATCTTGTACTCTTAGCATCTAGCATGATACTTGGTGCCACAGAGGTGTTTAGTGTTTGTTGAACAGATTATTTGAATTCAGCACACCATACTCATTTCTGTCTCTTCCATACCTGATATTATTTTCATCCCCTGGAATGCCCTACCTGCTTTCTTTATAATTCAAATCCTTTTCCTCTGAAGTCCATTGCAACTTCCCTCATTGCTCTCGCTCTGATTTCTCATAGGCTTTACTATTCATTGACAGTTGCATTATAGTCTCTTAACTGGCCCCTTGAGATAGGGATTTTATTTTATTCTGAAATCTATTTCTCAGTGCTTTATGCTCCAATGAATATATATATTTTCCTCAATATTTGATCATTGTTTATTGAGAAGCAGAGTTGTGTAGTGGGATAAGCATAGATTTGGAGAGATGTTTGAGTCACTTGCCCACTTGCACCTTAGATTCCTCAGGTATAAAGTGAAAATAAGGCTACTTCACATGATTGAAAAAAGGGTGAAATGAAGCAGTATATACCATACCCATGACAGAATAGGTCCTCAACAAATGTTAGTTTTCTTTAAAATAGTTTCCCTGTCGTAATTTTAAAACATAAAAGTTGTACATTTTCTATTTTTCTTCATAAGCTAAATCCTATGTTAAGTTGTGTTTTTGCTTACATGTAGCTTTCAATTGATTTTCAGCATTTAAGATATTAGACCAGTGGTTCTCATTCTCGACTACATACTAAAATCATGCAGGTATCTTTTAGAAATCCCAATGCCCAGGCCATCTCTCAAATCAATTGAATTAGAATCCCTGGGACTCACATTAGTGTTTTTTTTTCTCTTTTTTAACTCCCCAAGTGATGAGAACCAAAATGTTAGATTGTAAATACATGCATTCCCCTAATCTCTCCTTTGAAATCAAAGACCTTAGTCCAGGGAGTTATAAGATAGGACTGTGATTAAGAGAAAAGTTCGCCCCACATGTGTTAGGTTATGGATGATTTTGAAAGTTACCAGATACAAAGAAACTTGAGTTTCTGGGTGAAGTCAGAAACAAGGGATCCTAGCAGGGCTGAGGGGAGCAAAACTTGACAGGCCCAAGGAACAGACTCACATAGGAGAATGGACAGTATGAAAAACTGTAGAGGCAGGTTTCAGTAGGATTAGACTAGGAATTTTGATCTTGAGACAAATACATAGGCTTTGTGTCTTCACAGAAAGAGTTTACACCATTTTCATATGTTATTTTCTCAGAAGACTGTATCCTAGAAAAAGAATATCAATGTGTTAAAAAGACAAGGGCTAAGGTAATAGAAGCAGACCATACTTTTCCAGAACTGCTTCTAGGTCTTTCATATGTGACCTGCAGCTCCTCTAAACTACTATATTGCCTGTATTATAATCTTCTGATATAACTTGTGAAGAAACCAAGGAGGAACTGAGAAGAACATTATATATACTCTATAAGCACTAGACAAATGTGTAAAACCTCTGAAAAATAATCTGTTTATAATCATTGGAGATCATTTAGGCAGTGGTGCTTAACAGTGCCTACACAGAAAAATCAACTAGAATGCTTTCAAAAAGTAAGAAAGCCTAGTTCTACCCCTAGAGATTCTGATTAAATTGGTTTTATGTTAAGCTGTATCATGAATATTTTGAGAGTTCTCCACATGGTTCTAATGTGTAACTAACATTAAGAACCACTAGTCTAGGGGAAACCAGGAGTCCTGCTTATCTTGTATAACTTGGGCACCCTTAGAATACATGTCCAAGTGAATCTGAGCCTTAATTTTCCCACCTGTTAAATAACATTAGCTATAATCTCTGAAAAGGGTTTTTATAAGCATGCAGAGTCCCGGATTCAGTTCTCAGCTTTGCAAGAAGGCCAGAATCTTCAAAAGTGATTAGCCTCAAATGAAGGACTTCCCAAACCAAAAACAAAATTGCAAGATGGTGATAAATAACGAAGGAACTGGAAAGACACTCCTTTAAGGTTTTTTCCACCCATTCTTTGACAATAATTAGCTGGGATATTGTTAAAATACAAATTCCCTGTCCCAACGTATCATATTCTCCAGAGGAAGGGGTCTGGGTGGTGCACTGGGAAGACCCAGAGGGATCGGGTGGAGAGGGAGGTGGGAGGGGGGACCGGGATGGGGAATACATGTAAATCCATGGCTAATTCATTTGAGGCTAATTACTTTACAATATTGTAGTGGTTTTTGCCATACATTGACATGAATCAGCCATGGATTTACATGTGTTCCCCATCCTGAATCCCTCTCCCACAATAACAAAGGAGATGATAGTTTTGAAGAATCATTTATTCAGACTTTGACATAACTGGCTGAGCTCTCCTGGGCCCACCGCAGAGCATACATCAATAGTGAACATAGTCCTCATGTGCTTCAAAGTCAGACTCTTTCTTTCCCTTTGACAGTAGTTTCCTGTTTCTATGAATAATCTTTGCTTGGACATGGCCAATACACCTAGTAATGATTAATTTAGTGTCCTTTAAATGATCAATTTGCTGTTTGATTTAAAAGAAGATAGCCTTGCTGGACCCTGAAATCTCTGAAGCCATCAATTTATCCTCTTCTTTAGAGTGAGATTGTTTTTATATTTAGCTTAATGAAACTTATTAATTTGCATCTTATGACCAAAGAGAAAGTGGAGGGATGATAAGTTTAAGAAAATAAAACTTAACCTATCACCTGCTTCCAGTTCTATCTGTCAGAATAGAGAGGTAACTAGTATACCTATTCTATAGTTCTTGACTCTTATGAAGTGGTAACTAATAGTTTTATTTTAGAATTTTGCTTTCAGCATTTATCTTGAGAGTGGGGCTGACTGAAACTCTCTCTAAAATCTGTCTATGGAAATCACTTTTGGTAAACTAATGCATTATAGTGATTTCAGGTAAGAGAGTAAACATTTGCCTTTATTCATCTTTAATATTTTGGGATGTTTCAAGTTTTAGTTGGATAGAAAGAAAATTGGGGCAAACAAAAAGAGGTTGGTTGAGGGATTAAGAGGCAAAGATAGATTAGGCATACTACATTTGAGGTGTCTGTTGTACTTTCACATAACAAAAATAAACAAGTGGATAGCAGTTTCTTAAAGAGACCAAGGCTGGAGTGGCAGTGTGGTGTAGTGTGAAGAATTTTGGACTTTAAGAGACGTGGGATCTGAGAAGCTATCTCTGTTACTAACTGACTCTGTGACTTCAACCAAATCATTTATCTTCTCTAGGCCTTATCTTTAAATTGGGAAAGTTCAAGTAAATGATTTCTAGTAAACTCCTGTCCAGCTATGTGATTCTAAGTATATTCTTGTTGACCTTTTTAACTTGAACTCTGTTTTTTCCAGCATTTAGTATGAGAACCTACGATTGTCGTATTTGTAATATCACCTTTACATCTTTAGAAATGTTCCGGTCTCATATGCAAAGAAGTGAACATCAACTTAAGTAAGAATTTCTTACCAAAGTGCTCCTATGATACCAAAAACCAGGGGTTCTGTCAAGTATCTTTACGTGTATTTTATAAACTTCCGAGACATTTACTTCCCTAAGAGTTGATCCTGGGTATGGTTTGTAGTATTTGTAGCATACTGTATGCTAGTTCCATCTCCCAGGAAGTTCTCTAGCCATGATAGTATGCTGACAGAGCTGGCTCATGGGCAACCCTCTTGACCAGACATCTTTGGAAAGATGCTATCATTCTCAGGTTAGCCAGATAATGCAAATAATCCCTATAATTCTTGGAAGGTTGGCTAGTTCCAGAGATTCAGCTATCCATTTGTCATCCTTCCAGTGAGGTATAGTGGTTAAGAAAAAAGGTCTTGCTGTTAAACAGAACCAAACTGGAATACCAGATCTTTCTACCAAGTAACTTTGGACAGCTCTGACATAAAGTGGTTATAATGAAGTATAAAAATATGGGCAAGATCCCTTGCCTGGCACATTGTGGGAGCTTAGTTCACATTTATTCCAATTTTTTCTGTTATTTGAAGGAGGAGAAGATTGATTGGACAGTTGGGGACTGGATAAGTCAAGTAGTGGGACAGAGGGGCACTTAAGTATTGTATATTTATTTTGTTGCTTTTAGTATAACTTTCTGGTAGAAAATATTTGTATTATTGAGTCTGAATACTAGGTAGCTAAATTGTATAACTAACCAAATTAACCTTCATTTAGACTCTTTGTAAAATTTCAGAGTTCCAGAATAAATAGCTGTCACATTTATAGATCTATACAAGGAACTGAAAATCAGAACTTTTTACAGCAATGTGACATGCAGATCAGACCATCTTTAGGGCATTAAATATTATTGGTCCTTTCCCACACATCCCAACATGCCTTACATTTTTAAGTACTACAACAATATCAGATATGTCTGCTTCTTTGTACCTATCTTCCCTTTCATCCCAGGTCTGAAAATTTTTTATGTATAAAAAAATTGTGAGGTGCCTAGGAGATATGTGACTATCTCTGCTTCTTCTCTTTGGCATACAAAGTCATGATTTATAGCTTTTAAATTAAGGTGGGTTTTAAAATTTTGCTTGGGCCTCTGTTGTATTTGTTTTTTTCAAACTAGTATTTTTGAAAGCAAAACAAATATTCCAAATAAAATAATCTAGTAACAAGAACTTTCTACTGTCTTATTTGCAGAGAATCCATTGCTATCAATCTAGTGAAGAAGTCATGGAAGCCACCAGACTCTTGCCAAGATGAATGTACAGATTACATCAAAGTAGAGAAAGCCAGAGGATCAGAACCAAAGACTTGTTTTAGAAAGATGGAAAAAGGTTCTTTGGAAGCCCATGGGTACAGAGAAGCAGTTGCTTCCAGATCCAGACATAGAACGTTTGAACAAAGATCCCCATGTGAGACTTTTTGGACATATCCAGGACCATATAATATTTCACAAGTAGTGGAAAACCAATTACCTCATTGCTTACCAGCTCAATCAAAGAAAACATATGACTCTTTTCAAGATGAACTGGAAGATTATATCAAAGTGCAGAAAGCCAGAGGACTACATCCAAAGACTTGTTTCAGAAAGGTAAAAGAGAGCTCTGTGGAAACCCATGGGTACAGAGAAATTGATTCTGGACCCAGACCAAGAATGTGTGAACGAAGATGTTCACTTGAGACTTCTCAGACCTACCAACGACCATACACTACTTCACCAGTGGAAAGCCAATTATATCCAGCTCATTCAAAGAGGACATATGACTCTTTCCAAGATGAACTTGAGGATTATATCCAAGTGCAGAAAGCCAGAGGACTAGAGCCAAAGACTTCTTTCAGAAAGATAAGTGATAGCTCTGTGGAAACCCATAAGCACAGAAAAATGGTTGATTCCAGACCCAGATCTAGAATGTTTGAGCAAATACCCCCATTTGAGACTTTCCAGACTTACCCAGGATCATACAGTATTTCACAGGCAGAAGAAAACCAGTTACCTCATCCTTTACCAACTCATGACAGCAAACAGAGATTAGACTCTGTGACCTACTGTCAACCCACCAGAGACTGTTTCCCAGAAAAGCCAGTACCCCTGAGCCTTAGTCAGCAGGACAATAACTCTGGCACATACAGTGTAGAATCTGAAGTTTATAAGCACCTCTCCTCAGAAAACGATACCAATGAGCATCAAGCAGGTCATAAGCGTAAACATCAGAAGAGAAGAAGGCACATGGAGGAAGGTGAAGAAAGGCCAGAGAAGGAGCAGTCCAAGCATAAAAGAAAAAAGAGTTATGGGGATACAGATCTAGACAAGGACAAGGGCATTGGGGAAGGGAAAAGAGACAGAGATAAACTTAGTGTCAGTTCAGGAAAGCTTAAGCATCGAAGAAAGAAAAAAAGCCATGGCGTACCCTCTGAGAAGGAAAAACGTAAGCACAAGAAAGAGAAAAAGAAACCTGTTGAAGAAAAGACAGAAGAGGAAATGCTTTGGGATGAGTCTATTCTTGGATTTTAAACTTTTAGCTTTGTTTACCCTAGGAGAAATAGAATGGGGGAATTTAGACAAAGACAGAAACATCTAATGAGGAAAAAGAGAGGTGAGTGTAGTGTCAGTTCAAGAAAGCTTGGTTTTTTGTGTGTAAAAATTGAAATTGACTTGAAAGAAGAGACAGACAAGCCAAAACCTCGCCTCTGAGAAAGAACAAAAGAACACAGTAAGAACATAAGAGAAAAGGAAGCCAGTTAAAAGACAAAGGTGTCAGTGCTTTAGGACGAGTCTTCTCTTGGATTTTGAACTTTTCAGTTGTGTTCCTTTAAGGTTGAATTAAAGAAATAAGTTGAAGAGTTTGGTTTCATGAAATTCATGTTATTTGAATTTCCCTAAGTGGACAGTTACTTTAACCATTAACAAAAGCCAAGTGAAGTAAGAGTATTCAATATGCCTTGTCCTCAAGTTATTTTTCCTCATTTGTTAATGTGAAAGAAAAATTACATGTTTCCTGCATATAAAGTAATTTCTCTTAATGAGGCTGTCTCTGCTCCTGTTCATCCAGTTGCTGTGATAGTGAATTATTTACCTATGGGAGAAAATTAATTTTAAATTAGAAGATCAGGCATTATAGAATCCATCCTCTGTTTGGGCTGTGTTAGTGTTGGTGGTATTTTTTATTGCTATTATATGTTTGTCTGTTTCTTGGTTTTCTTCAAGGAAAATATGTGAAGCAATTTAGATTGATTTTTTGTTCATTTGTTAAATATAATTTGCAGTGTATTTTTGTATTTTCTAGTTCTGAAAGTGGGAAATGAAACAGTCTATAATAAATGTAGATGATATATAGTTTTAAAGAGTTCTCAAAGAGTACTGATAAAAAAATCAGTCTATATTCTGTAAACGTTTATATTACATTAAAGTGTTTTAATTTCTATATATTGTTTTATGTAAATAATTATTTCCCAGCTGAATATTATTTTACTTTGGGAGTGAGAGGGGAAATAAACAGTTTTCACCTCTGAGGAGATCACACTGTGAAGTTTTTTTGTTTTTGTTTTGTTTTCCTTACTGGTATTTCTATTTTTTTATTTATTTTTTTATTCATTTTTTTAACACCAAAAACATTTTGTATTGGGGTATAGCCGATTAACAATGTTGTGATAGTTTTAGGTGAACAGTGAAGGCACTCAGCTGTATATACTCATGTATCCATTCTCCCCCAAACCACCTTCCCATCCAGGCTGGCACATGACATTGAGCAGAATTCCATGTGCTATACAATAGGTTTATGTTGGTTATCCATTTAAAATAAAGCAATGTGTACATGGCCTTCCAAAAGTCTTTAACTATCCCTTCCCCCTGGCAACCATGAGTTCATTTTCTAAGTCTGTGAGTCTCTTCCTGTTTCATAAATAAGTTAATTTGTATCATTTCTTTTTAGATTCCACATTTAAAGGATGTCATATGATATTTCTCCTTCTTTAACATACTTCATTCAATATGACACTCCGCAGGTCCATCCATACTGCTGCAAATGGCCTTATTTCGTTCTTTTTAATGACTGAGTAACATTCCATTGTATATATGTACCACATCTTCTTTATCCATTCCTCTGTCGATGGACATTTAGGTTGTTTCCATGTCTTAGCTATTGCAAACAGTGCTTCAATGAACATTGGGGTGCATGCATCTTTTCAGGCCATGTTTTTCTCTGGATATATGCCCAGGAGTGGGATTGCAGGGTCATATGGTAGCTCTATTTTCAGTTTTGTGCAGAGTCATATGGTAGCTCTATTTTTAGTTTTTTAAGGAATCTCTATACTGATCTCCATAGTGGCTGTACCAATTTACATTCCCACCAACAGTGCAGGAGGGTTCCCTTCTCTCCACACCCTCTCCAGCGTTTGTTGTTTGTGGATTTTTTGATGATTGCCATTCTGACTGGCATGAGGTGATATCTCATTGCAGTCATCAAAACAGTATGGTACTGGCACAAAAATGGAAATATATAGATCAATGGAACAGAATAGAAAACCCAGAAATAAGCCCTGTTCATATTTTCTGTTTCTTCCTGGTTCAGTCTAGGAAGACTGTACCTTTTCCATTTCTTCCAGATTGTCCATTTTATTGGTGTATAGTTGTTCATAGTAGTCTCTTATGATGCTTGGTATTTCTGTGGAGTCAGTTGTAACTCCTCATTTCTAATTTTACTGATTTGAGTCCTCTCCCTTTTTTTCTTGGTGAGTCTGGATAAAGGTTTATCAATATCATTTATCTGTTCAAAGAACCAGCTTTTAGTTTCATTGATCTTTGCCATTGTTTTGTCTCTCATTTATTTCTGCTCTGATCTTTATGATTCCCTTCCTTCTACTAACTTTAGGATTTGTTTGTTCTTTCTATAGTTGCTTTAGGTATAAGGTTATGTTGTTTATTTGAAACTTTTCTTGTTCTTGGAGGTGAGATTGTATAGCTATAAACTTCTTTTTTAGAACTGCTTTTGCTGCATCCAGTAAGTTTTGGACCATTGTACTTTCATTTAATTTGTGTCTAGGTATTTTTTTTTTTATTTCTTCTTTGATTTCTTCAGTAATCAAATGGTTGTTTAGTAGCATATTGTTTAACCACCTTGTGTTTCTTAGAGTTTTCTTTGAAGTTTATTTCTAATCTCATAGTACTGTGATCAGAAAAGCTGCTTGATAAGATTTTGACTTTCTCAAATTTACCAAGGCTTGCCTTGTGGCCCAGCGTGTGGTCAGCCCTAGAGAATGTCCCATGTGCACTTGAAAAAATGTGTAATTATTGACATGTATGATCCTATTACCATTTTGTTAATTGTTTGGCGTTTATTTTTTGCAGATCTTTTCCTTCTCTTGTGTTTCTTGCCTAGAGAAGTTCCTTTAGCATTTGTTGTAAAACTGGTTTAGTTGTGCTGAATTCTCTTATCTTTTGCTAATCTGGAAAGCTTTTGATTGCTCCATCAAATCTGAAGGACAGTCTTGCTGGGTAGAGTATTTTTGGTTGTAGGTTCTTCCCTTTCATAACTTGGAATATATTGTTCCATTCCCTTCTGACTTGTTGAGTTTCTGTTGAAAAATCGGTTGACAATCTTATGGGTTTTCCCTTATATGTTGTCTTTTTACCTTGTTGCTTTTAATAATTTATCTTTGTCTTTAATTTTTGTCAATTTGATTACTATGTATCTTGGTGTATTCCTCCTTGTGTTTATCTTGCCTGGGACTCTCTTTGCTTCCTAGACATGGTTGACTATTTCCTTTCCCACATTGGGGAAGTGTTCAGCTATTATCTATTCAAATATTTTCTTGGGTCCTTTCTCTCTTCTCCTTCTGAGACCCCTATACTGTGAAAATTGATGCATTTAATGTTGTCCCAGAGGTCTATTAAGTTGCCTTCATTTCTTTTCATTCTTTTTTCTATATTCTGTTTTGCAGCATTGATTTTCATCATTCTGTCTTCCAGGTCACTTATCCATTCTTCTGCCTCAGTTATTCTGCTATTGATTTCTTCTAGTGTATTGTTCATCTCTGCTTGTTTCTTCTTCAGTTCTTCTAGGTCTTTGGTAAGCATTTCTTGCATCTTTTCAATCTTTGCCTCCATTCTTTCTCCAAGATCCTGAATCATCTTCACTATCATTATTCTGAATTCTTTTTCTGGTAGGTTGCCTATCTCCATTTCATTTAGTTGTTTTTCTTGGGATTTATCTTGTTCCTCCTTCTGGGACATAATTTTATTTCTTTTTGTATCTTTCTGTGATTGTGGTATTAGTTCTGGAGGCTAATGGGAATGTAGTTCTTATTTCTTCTATCTGCCCTCTGCTGAATGAGGATAAGAGGCTTGTGCAAGCTTCCTGATGGGAGGGACTGGCTGTGGGGGAAACTGGGTCTTGCTCTGGGGCTCAGTAAAACTTTAATCCAATTGTCTGCTGATGAGTGAGGCTGTGCTCCCTCCCTGTTAGTTGTTCAGCTGGAGTCTATAGGCTTCTGTTGTTACTGTTCAGTCGCCCAGTCATGTCTGACTCTTTGCGACCCCATGGACTGCTGCATGCTAGGCTTCCCTGTTCTTCACCATCTCCCAGAGCTTGCTCAAACTCATGTCCATTGAGTCGGTGATGCCATCCAGCCATCTTGTCCTCTGTCATCCCCTTCTCCCACCTTCAATCTTTCCCAGCATCAGGGTCTTTTCTAATGAGTCAGCTCTTCATATCAGGTGGCTGAAGTATTGGAGCTTCAGCTTCAGCATCAGTCCTTCCAATGAATATTCAGGACTGATCTCCTTTAGGATGGACTGGTTGGATCTCCTTGCAGTCCAAGGAACTCTCAAGAGTCTTCTCCAACATCAAAGTTCAAAAGCATCAATTCTTTGGTGCTCAGCCTTCTTTATGGTCCAGCTCTCACATTCATACATGAATAGCATGTAGGGCTATTGATGACCTCCAAGAGGACTTATGCTGAGATGCATCTCCCAGGACTGCTGCTGCCAATGCCCCCATCTCCGTGGCAGGCCACTGCTGACCCACACCTTTCCAAGAGACCCTCAAACAGTCACAGGTAGGTCTGGCTCACTCTCCTGTAGGGTCACTGCACTTTCCCCTGGGTCCTGGTGCACACAAGATTTTGTGCCCTCCAAGGGTCTCTGTTTCCCCTAGCCATATGGAAGCTCTATAATCAAATCCCGCTGGCCTTCAAAGTCAGATTCTCTGGGGATTTCCAGTTCCTTGACTAAATCCCCAGGCTGGGGAGCCTGATGTGTTACCTAGAACCTTCACAACAGTGTGAGTATGTCTTTGATATTATTATTCACTTTGTGAGTTGCCCACCTCATGGGTATAGGATTTTATTTTATTGTAATTGTGCCCCTCCTTCTATTTCATTGTGGCTTCTCCGTTGTACTTGGATGTGGAATATCTTTTTTTGGTGGGTTCCAGTGTCTTTCTGTCAATGATTGTTCAACAGCTAGTTGTTATTTTCATGCTCTGGCAGGAGAAGACGAGCTCATGTCTTACTCCACCATCTTGAACCAATCTCTGTAAA